TCACGTCCTTCTAATATGTATCATTCACCCCATCGTGTCTACCAATTGACGTAAATCAATGTTACCATGGCAACATGAACCGAACGTTGTGACAGCTTCAACCCCAGGCTGTAGTTCGGCTGTATGATATACACATACTATAAAAGTGAATGGCTGTGTCTATTTTTTTCCCCGTTATATATGGTTCGACGCTTTAAATGCGTGCTTATTATACTAAAAACTAAACTTATTGTACTAAAAATAGACATCTAATTTCAATTTCTGTCAGTTGTAATTTATCCTTGTCACAAGTCTCAAAACATATGTCTTAACCGTATAAACAACTGAATTCCAACCGACTATTGGGGACTTGTTGTTTATGGAGATCGTTATATGTTAAAAAGATAAATACCAGTTAACACCAAATGATTCATGGGTCGACTATAAATTTCACAAAAACAAATGATTGATTGGTTGAAAAAAAAAATTAACCCAACTATTTGTGATCCAGCGCCAATTTTCTGAACTTGCCGGATCACAAATTTAATTGCCGAACGCTATCTCTCGTTATGACGGCACAGGGTGCTCGCACAATGACATATATCACTTACAAGACATCGACTTTTCAGGGCGGGCACGTGACAATGCATATTAAACGCTGCGGACAATTGGCCCGGTAATCAAACCCTCCAAGCGATTATTTCACGACACTGAGTAAATGCCTCGCACACAATGAACAGTTGAAATGCAATACCAAGTTACAAGGAATTACAACAATAAACCGCTATTCAAAGGGGGAAACGGTCTAAATGTAAATATGCATTTCATAAACAGTCAGTCTAAGCACCTACACTCAGATGCAAATACGCGTTACTACCCTGAAATCAACTATACGCGCACAGGCAGTGTTGAAATGAAATAAAAACTACTGATTATATCCTACGTTTACCCAATCTGAAAACAAGTGGGCTGATAGGTTTAGGCACTTTGCCCATGGCCGTGGCCCCATGGACTTGTTGTTGCTATAGCAACGTGGCGCTTAGCTGAAGGTATGCGTGCCAAAGATCATCCATAACTCGAAATTGCGACGGACAATGAGGACAACACAATACGGAGGCCCGCCTCTTGCCATTTAATTAACGTAGACATTTCGCCTTTAAATTTGCTCAAATGAGTGGAATGAGAACGTCACGTGACGGGTTGATTACTCGAGCTGCCAAAAGTTTGGCACTTCAAGAATGCTGAAATCACAATATTTTCCCCAAAACAAACTTTTCTGGAGAAATATATAAAAAACACGAATATTATTAGGTATTTAGGCGATTTTCGAAGAGGTGAGAGGTCATTTTCAAAAGAAGCAATGACTGGTTAAGTATTAGAATCATGGCAACAAAGAAACAAATAAATTAATCCCGGTAACTTCATGAAGCCTATTACACGAAAATAAAAATCCGTCAGTATTAAAAAATAAAACGCGAGTATATGTAGATACCACAGCGTGGTTGTAATTGCCTTGGTAACCAGCCTGGTCGCCATAGTTACCTATAGTATATATATGTAGTGCTTTGTGTTATGATTAAATCGTTGTAAATGAATATATATCCACACGTACTCATCTGTGGGTGTTACAATGTATATGGTAATATATTTTAATGGATGTTGTTCTCGCTGCACGCTATTACATGGATGGCTTCAAATCTTATAAAAAGAAAATATTCAGTCTTAAAAATTATCCGTTTCCCGGCATGTGTGTGTCGCTTTGAGATTGCTTACCGGTGGTAAAAACAACAAAACACGCAATGCTTTGGTCTTATCGATTTACAGTACCGGCGTTGACTTGAAATGTACATGTATATATCGACCGACTTGATTATAAACCAGATAGGTCGTGTATACGGATCGATTTTGTTTAAATTCGGTACGGCGAGGTGGCGAGTTCAAGATTAAATTGAAGTTCATGGTAGTGCTGTACTCGTACTGGTATAATTGTTATTGAGTACCGACAGCGTAGAGTGAAATGTACACCTACCTCTTTTCATAGTATGAAAACGACATCTTTCTTGGGTTGAGCTAATAGCAACGTCGGCAGCGATCCTATTTTTCCACCGAGCGTAGGTGCATTCAAAAATACACCAGCATTAATGGGAAATTCTTTCGGCGGTTCAGTGACGATATAGTCGAATTCCCAGGACGATTTGGCCACTGCGAACGGCAGCCTCCTTATACACTGTTCGTTGTATAAATAACCAGACAATACTCAACAGCTGAGTTGTTACCAAGCTAAGTGTGGGAGGGCTGTTACGTTCAGTGTTTGCGCTCCCCCGGTCGCGAGGGGCAATGAATTGATAATGTCGCTCTAACATTTGACGTAGCTGAAGCGTGGATGAATATAATCGTGTTGCAACCGATCGGATTCATTTGTCTGTGTCCAGCAGGCATAATTTCCAGAGGAAAGGTTTCGAACAGTGGTCGACGGACAATTCGCTTTCACATTTACACAACAATGGATCATTGTATAAGCTATGCAACTGTACTTATTCAATTTAAAATTTAACGGCAATCAATCTTCAAACACATTAACATTTTGCCGATTTTGTGAAAACACCTCTTGCGAAAACACATCGTTTTCACAAGTGGTTACTTTTATCTAAATCAATATTTGCTGGAAATGCCAAAGCGTAATGTTTATTGCCGACACATAACATACAATACATCATTCATTTCATTTTACGTACTAAGCATAACAAGGCCAGAGGTTACATGAATGTTGTCAGGTCGCTACTCCAGTAGAATATTTCCAATTGTTGCGGCCTGAATGACAATTAATAGAGCAATCGAGCCCCTCTCTATAGAATCAAACAAAGTGCATTGACATATATGTACACATATACACACTGACAAACACTGACAAACCATGGAAAGCACTTTCCTTGCATTTGGACAAACCAAATAAAGATTACGTGACTCCACAGCAAGCGCATGCGTGCGTGTACTGAATAAATAGACCCAAGGACAATCACAGAAACACTGTAGTTGCAGACATTACCCACATGTGCAGGGAAGCCTTTACAATGTTCCCCCAGGATGCAATGAATGAATAAATGGGGTTCAACTTCAAATATCGTTCCTAAAATCAGAATCAAATAACCGCCGAGGATGCTGCGGTCAACAATGACCCAAGAACGACATACATGTATATCAGTGTTACATGTAGTAGATCAAAATTTTTGAAAAAGTACAGTTAATCAAACTTTTTACTAAATGTGAGAGACTTTTGGAAAATCAATTTCTCGTTGGATTTCATCGCACCACCGCGACCCAATATTGTACACCAAGCATCAAATGCGTGATCTCACTGGTGTATTTTATGTTGCATAACTCTCTGAAATGGCAGCATTTTAATTTGGAATGTATTTCAGCGTAACACTGTTAGTATCGCTCTTACGGGCACGGTGGTGTCGCGAAAGGGAAGTAAATGATTGGAACAGCCGATTAGTTCCCGCGTATCTTTGTATTTGACTATTGTTTATCTCCTTGTCATGGCTGTACAATACACACTTACGTGGACAAACAACAATCAGATAATGTGTGAGCGTTGTTATTGTATAAACGCATTGTGTGCAGTTTAATAGAACAAAGAGTTAACTGTCATGTTCGGGAATGCCATCGAAACGTCGTAATCGGCTGGAGGTAAGCCACCTAGTGGCATTCTTTGAACTTCTTTTGTTTAAGTTCGGTGAATGAACAAGGGTAATTTCCAGTATTCGAACATTTGCACACGTAAACACAAATTCTCACCCGCCTCGAAAAAAAAATGCATTTTACAACGTGTTTTGTGGTAGCCATAAGGTGCCGTAAAAAGGCCGTGATTTACGACAATGTTCAGACAAACTATACATCATAAAACTGGAATAGTCAAAAATGGCATTTGTTAGATTAAATCACATAAATATTGCATTTATAATTGCATGTACATTTTGAATAGATAGTAACCAAATGTCGGTTCATTGCAGGGAAACTGCCGTAATAAATGCGCATGCGTATTTTCTCCGCGCACACTATGTAAAGTATTAAACGCTGCTCACAGTTATAGTTAGTATTTTTTTATCTCAATTTGTTTTATTATTTTTTTTTTGTATTAACAGCGTGTTTTTTTTGATGTGTGACTTTTGTTGCTTGCACGACGACGAACTACCGGTACGTAATTCAGGAGCGCGAACTAGTACCTTATTCAACATTATAATACACGTCAGTCATTGTATGGTCACACGCAAAATGATCCGTTTTTTCACGCAATACCACTGACTGTATCCTTCTGTGTCTCTCAAGCATTGAACAGTATTTTTTTCGACATCTCATTACTATGGTTTGTATTAGAACAAACATGATGATGTAATGATGATGTAAGAATTCTGGCTGTACAAATAGGATTTACGATTTCAAAATAAATTATGTTAGCTGTAAAAACAAAACAGAAAGCAGTAATTGTACCTACTAAAATCTTACACAGTCATGACAACCATGTAAGCGTGTTTTATTGCTGTTGGAACCATCGGTGTTTAAATCAGAGTTGCGATGCATCGGGTATTTTAAGGTCCATATTTTCCGTGAAGTGTTACCTTATGATTGATATTTAATGCACAAACCTAGTATGTTTTATATGTATGTTCTGTACAAAATGAATTATTTACTATATCGCTTGGCCCGCTTGTTGTAAGTCGAAAAGACGGTGACCGAATACGCATGTGGTTCCAATTAATCAATCAGTTGAAATAGTGTAAACGCAATAACGTTAAATTGCCCACTCAACGAACTTAAGAAACGACGTGAGGAAAAGTCAAAACATTTTTTCACACTGAACATTCAGTTCAATAAAATTTCTGTTTATTCTCAATAAAATGTAAACCATTACACAGCGACATTTCTGACGCATCGAGACTTTGTTGGAGTTTTTTTTTATTGAAGACACGTGGTTTGGACAAACATGCATATACATGTATATATATCCACAAGGAAACAGTGGCGTGTACAGAATACACTCAGATAAAGTAGAATCAGAAAGTTTTAGCAGAAACGCCACTTAGGTAAGTACCATCCGTACGGTAATGTGCTTATATCATTGGCAAGGTTCAGTTGTACTACGATGCTTTTGAATTGATCCAGCCTTGGTACTTTCGCTAGTAGATTTTTCATCATTGTTTGCAACAGAGAATCGGACGGTTTACATTCTTATAACATCTGTTTTCCAGTTCTAAAAAATGAGGACGCAGAATATCATCGCTGTCTCCCTGATATTGATCGTGTTGTTGGCCGACACCTTTGCAGAGTAAGTATGTATTACATCAACCCATGTATTGGGGGCTGCGTCGCACAAATTAGAAGTAAAAAGAGAGAAGGCAGTTGTTTTGGGCAAACATAATGAACAATTGTAATATATACATAATTTGAATTATACAAGCCGTGGCTATGTGTACGTTATTCCACAATTCTCAGTATTGAGAAGTAGGCCCAAAACCTGATTAGCACACGATAGGGTTAAATCTTTCTGTCAGAAAATCGACAAAAATAGTATTTTGCGCTGCGGATGAAGAACATTGCGACCCTTGGGTATTGGGGATTCAAGCGATAAGCATGAGAAAAACAATTGTTCAGAATTACGCCGGCAAACGACGTCGAAAAGGATTGGCTCGCTCGTGAACCTGGAAGCTTTGTTGACCCTCAAAACACAATCAGCCACACTTGCACGACACTAATCAACTTTTGTGTTTTTTTTTTTTTTTAAATTAAGTCAATTGAGATGAGTTTACATATATAAACGTTGCTTCTAACACGCACACACACACACACACAAAGAACTACGCGAATAAACCTATAATAACGCAGTAATACGGTTGCGAATTTGCGCCACCGTTCGGTATATTTATAATCGCTTCGTGCATGCTAGTTCCAGAGCCAATTTTTGTTTTACCACGGTTACAAGTAGAACGTTCTCAGTACTGTATCACATTTGTACATAGTGTTTAGTTTACGTGTGTCAAAATTACCTTTAAAATGAAGTTGTTATAATAGAATAATTAACATAGCCGCCCAAAAGAATAGTATTATCACGGGGACGATTCTTCTCCTCCGGGGTTCTTCAATACGTGTCAGGGGGGAATACCTTCTGGTCTCTATATCACGTTTGCTTGAGGTACGGGATCTGGAACGTTTCTTAAACTTTACAGTCAAATAGATACACACAACTAAATACGTATCAACTCTCGTCTTTAAACGGTCAGTCGAGTACTCTATAAGACACAGCGCCCTGGGGAAAAGTCTTCAAGACTATCGCAAGGCTGATCCAAGACTGCGTCTCTCCTGGTGTTCTCGCCAAGACCAACTAAAAATTCTTTATTCACTTTCAAAACCTTAACCAATTACAAAGACGTTAAAAGACTCCAAGGCGTGGCCTTCACACATACAGCCAATCACACTAAGTACTGGACACGTCATACCTACTGATTAATCCGACGTCCGCCATATTATAAACTACGCATACCAAACGTTAGAAATAGTAGTCCGGATAGCGACGGCTATATCATAATTAGTTCCAAGTCACTGAGTCGAGTTCCATCCAGGACCTCACATGAGTCTAATTGATGACAAATATAACACAGCCTTTCACTAGTAATCAGCTAAATACTGTAAAATACTTTATTTTCACTGGAATTTATTTTCGCTGAAAAGACTTTTTAGGTGTGTTATATGGAATTTATTTTCACTGATTTTTGGCGAGTTGAATGTAAAAGATAGGAAAACAGGTATATTCGCTGGATTTTATTTTCACTGAATCATTCCTTTAGCGAAAAAGGCGAAAATTAATTCCAAACGAAAATAACGTATTCCACAGTAAGTCGATCAACAGATACGCGAAAACTAATTCATGACAGTATACCACCCGATTTTGTACAGCTCACTCCGTATACATATTATTTATCGCTTCGGTGTGTATACTGTATGTCGTACTACTGGTTAAAAACTCGTGGTATACTCGCCTCTTGGATGGCGGGTGGTGTAGTTCCCCTTAAATAAAGTTACTAAATCGTTAATTGTCGGCACAATTTTGTATTACGTGTGAAAAGATATTGATCAATGTATTGAGATTTTGTTTCGTTTACTACTTTTTTGACGTTGTTGTGAAATACAAGTCATATTCCTAACCACGTCAATACAAGGGGGATATTATAGTGCACTTTTTCTCAACAGGTTTTAGGCTGGGTAAGAAAATGCACTAGTTGCAAAATAAACTCATTGTTGCGCAGTCGTTTCGTATTTCGTATCACCCACATCGTATTTTGTGTTCACTCTTTAGGGCTGCTGCAAACCGACGTCGTACTAACAAACCTCGACGTCGTAACACTGGCAGAGACCTTGACCAAGAAGGGCTACAAACAAGGTAATTAGTGACCGTATGTATCATATGATTTCGCCATGTTGTGTTTATTTCATATTCTAAAGCCACAACTGTGTGTGGTTGTTTGGTATTTCATATCTCTAATGCATGCATGACTAGAATACAAGACACGCGGGTGCATTCAATTGTCCATGTCAGTATGTGTTGACTTTCCCATGTAATATTACATTTGTCTTTATTTCAACCGAACACCTGGAGTTAACATATTAATGCATTGTGCATGCCTTGGCCATACTCACACTTTCAGGCACGTCACATCGAGTCGAATGTCTAGCTTTCCTTATTTTGCAAGTTATAGGTCGAACCAATCACATTTGCTTAATCTGAGCGTCACGGTGGCGTCACGAGGCCACGTGATTCTGCTAATGAAAAGCTTGTATACAGTACACATGTCGTTTAGATACAATTTGGTGACGGTGCACATGTGAATAAATGCCCCGACTCACGGTAACATAGCCATTGTCATCACAATAAAAAAACAAATTTCTATGCGTTTTAAATGCAAATCTGCTGAAGAACAATAAATAACTACACCAAATGCCAATGGTGAATGGACTGGTAACATTATACACCAATGTTTCTTACTGTATATAGCTTCCAAACACGGTGCTCGTGACACTAAACATTCGTAACATATTTTTAAAGGGTGAGATAACTTTGTTCTGAGGCAATTTGTGTATCGTTGTACTGCACTCACGTTAGTTCACTTTGGTGCCGGTAAACAAAATTATATTGTAATTACTGTTTCATTTGGACCACCAGCTACTTTATTGTATGGGACAGATGGATGACAAAGTTTAACTTTTAATTTTAAACTCTGATCGTGTAGGGGTAGCGGCAACCGGCGTCGTAGTAATAACGGCAATGGCAATGGCAGGGACGTGGACCAAGATATTGTCACCCTGGACGACGACTTTGAAGAAATATCTCCGCAAGAAAGGTAACATGAGATCGTCTGTTACTATTGTTTCCCCTTCCTCGATGTGAATCCACGTTCGAAATGAGCTGTTTTCTTTAGATGTAACCATTACTGGCGACATTACTGGAGTGAAATGGCGCACTTGTTTTACGTATTGAGTCGAAAAAATAATTATTCATTGGTTTCACTCAAAAAAAAAAAATATTCTTTCGTTTTCTGATAAATATTTCAATACTATTTCTGGCTTGAACACGTTCAACTGAACACGTTCAACTGTTCCGCGCATAGGAGCTATATAACTTTCCCTAGTCAGCTTAAAAAAAAATTAGTTAGTCGTTTATTGCACGATATAATGTCTTAACAACTTCAACTTGAACTAATCTGCATCTTTTTTTAACAAAAATCAGAAATATTTTAATCTGTTTAACAGGACGGGCGACTTAACATACCTGTGTTAAATTAGAACGCTACACAAAAGTAAAAATATTGTCATTTTCCTTATTTTTGCATATTTGCTATGCCATGTTACCATGTTGGTGTCGATCATTAAAACACAGTGAAAATAGCATGTTTTGATCGTTTTATGACATTTCACCATTATATTGTTTCACATGGCAAGGATATATTTCAATGTCTCAAAATGTCGATAGGTTACGAATGGTGTTGTTAGTGGGTAAATGATTAGAAAATGTGTTTTCACTGTGGTCTATGGAAGCCGCTGCTAAAATGGAATATTACATTATGCAGTCTACCTTAACCAACATGAACTTGTAGTTTAAATTATTCGAATATGCAAATGATTCGTATGCAAATCTGCCCTGTGTTTTTATGTGTATGGTCTATATTTAGTCCTTTTGTATCATGTTACGAGTTGGGTATCCGATGCAGTGAAGTGTAGGTGTACTTCAAAACACACAATTACAAAGAAATTTATCGCAATTCACGGCATACATTTACATTGCGTACAGATAATATCGTGATTTATTTCGTTACATTCTACAGATTTCTTCAGGAGAACGAAGACATAGAGAATGATTGGTAGGTAACCAAATTATATCGTTGCACTCATACTAGTAGCGATGAACAGCGCCCCCAGTTTCTAATCTTGATAATAACTACTTGATTGTTGTCGACGATCAATTTTTCGCGTATCTGACAATTGTAAATTTGTTTTACCTGCTAGGTTTGAAGAGGAATGAAGATGACTGAGATATGTATTTCTATGAGGTATGTTTTAATTCGTGATTGAAATTAGAGTACATATTAGGGCATAATAAAACAAAAATGGCTGCCACCGGGGTTTGACCGGACTTCACACAAACAAGTTCGCTGATTCTGTTCTAAACATTTTCGATTTCGGCATTCCCATGATGTATCCTCGGAAAGGAAAGATGTATAATAATAAGCTTATACCGCACACCGTCGCACCTAGCCCCTGCTGCGCGTCGATCGATTCTCAAGCTGTACTGTCTTCGTGCATACTTTGAGGTATCCTCGTAATAACCTCATATTATTACAATACACTGTGACGTGATGTAATATATTTACATTGTATTTTAATGCTACGTGCTATAGTGTATTACTGTATAATAATGACATAAATGTAACACAGGCTACTTATTTTATTTTTCAGCGTTGTTTCTGGAACAACTATATTTATGACGCGGATAACGACCATGACGACAGCGTTGTCAGGGAATAGTGTTGTTTACATTTACGAGACCCGTGTAACGCGTATTTACGTTTTAAAAATATAATAAATCATATGCATATAACACTTTAAACCAATGTTGTTTTTCTTTGTTTTGGGTTCGGTGAGGTAACCCCGCTCCCTAAAGAAAAGCGAGGTGCCTTCACAGCATCGTTATGGACGCCATCATAAGCTTGATAATGATTACTGCCCACATTCTAGTCATATCGCCCTCACACGCATTCAAGAAAGATATAGATAACGTCTTGCCAATACAGTTTTAACTTCACTTATTAATAACAACACAACTCGTAATTGTTATTCAAATAATTAACAATACTTTTACGCCCTTGAACGTCACATGGATACCACTGCCTGCAGCAATTGCGAGACAGCAACTGAGGCACTAAAGCGACAAACGTATTTGTGAGGTTTTGGAGTTTGGCTGGCTTGTTGGGGAGGATGTGGACAGACTTAACGTCTTGGGAGTAGGATTCGAGTGCAACATGAAACGTACTCGCGGAACGAACGCAAGAGAGAACACACAAAATAAGTAGAAAGGTAGCAATGATGATACCAGGGTGATACATATGAGCGGCAACACAAATCGTTAATTGGTCCAGTGACGACTCGTGATTGGAGAATAAATCGCATCTGTGATTGGACCAAATTTAATTAATTTCATAGGTTGTGATGTTTATCTCGGAATCCAAAATGTCGTATCAAAGTGCAACTTATTGAAAATGATTCTTCGAATTTTCTGCACCACAAAAATAATATCATTAATATTAAGGTCGCGTTTATATCAATTTTATCGCGATGTTGCGGCAGTGGATTAAATAAATAAATCAAAGCTCGCGAGCACACAACCTCAAAAATATGGGTTTACTCATTCTCGACCTTACCGATCGTTTAGTCTTAAATTTGATAGACGATGTTATTGTGAAAGCCAATTAAATACCGAGGAGTCAGTTCCAGGGATTACTCAAGCCAAAATAGGTGTATGATAGTTGAATTGAATTTTATTCATTTAATTTACAGGCAATATTGATAAATGAATACAATACAAATAACACTGAAATACGTATTGAATAGGAAGCTGGAAACTAGTGTAAAACACTAGTCGAGTCCACCCCCTTTTCTAGGTGAAATACAAACTATAATAATAAGTGGACGCTATTTTTTTTACATACAACTCAATTATGCATGCATAGTGTAAAAATCTGTTCATTTCTTTTTTAAATGAATTTCTTGAGCTCATGGAACGAATTTCTTCTGTGAGTTTATTCCAGAGTTTAGCCCCAGCATATTTGATTGAATGTTGTCCAGAATTAGTATGGTATTTTGGAATTATAAGATTACCTAATGCTTTTGATTTTGTGTGATAAGAGTGTTGGATGGAAGAGAATTATTGAGAAAACCCTGTTGGTAACTTGCCATTGAGATTATCATGAACAAACAAAGACATTTGCAAATCATGTTGTTTATAGATATTTAGTACATGGAGCTGATTAAAAAGTGAAGAAATGTGTGAGAGGCGATCTGATCCTGTTATTATGCGTACAATTCTTTTCTGTGTGAGATGTAAGTTGAGTACGTGTTCCCCCAAACTTCTAGTACATAGGAAATATGTGGTAGGATGAAACAGTTATATAATAGTAAAAGAATAAATGGTGGAATAATGTCCCCCAACTTGAAAAGAATACCTGCTTTACTAGTTATTGTTTTGTTTACTTTTTGTATATGGTTCTTCCAGTCAAGGTTATTGTCCAATTCAACACCAATGTACCCAGTTGTTTCAACTTCATCTATTGTTACCCCTTTTATATTAATTGTGCCCGTTGAATGCATTGATGCCTGTTTACCTCTAAATATAATGTATTCAGTTTTTTTGGAATTTATTGTTAATTTATTTGTATCGCACCAGTCTACAACATTGTTTAAATGGGAATTTACATTTGAAAGATCTATTGTGTTTTTTGAGTTGAAGGTATGAAATAGGCTGGTGACGTCTGCAAATAAACGGGTGTCGAAATATTCTGTGGCACTTGCAATATCATTTACGTAAATCAGAAAGAGTGTCGGACCTAGCACAGAGCCCTGTGGAACTCCACAAGTAATTGGTAGTTCATTTGACTGCATCCCATTAATATTGACATGTTGATTCCTGCTTGTTAAGCAATTTGTGAAGAGATTTTTAGGGATCCCCCGAAAACCGTAATTGTCTAGTTTGCTAATTAGAATATCACGATTCACAGTGATCTTCTATTGTGTAAAATTCGGTATTAATTCTAACACCCAAACTGCACTTAGAGCTAATGTCAGTCTTTTCCTTGTTAATGTCTACTACGATTCTCGAGTCCTAGCGCGATACTGATTCGGCATGCCCTTCGGGGATGTACCAAGACTACATATACCTCGTCTGCAATACACATCTCCCATGGGCAATACAACCGATGTCAGTATTGAATCAACTAACTTACCAATGATCACAGTACACATGCCATCTAACCTACCATCAAATCATTCATGTTGCAATAAACTAAGTCAACCATGAGATCCAAAACAGAATCAAACTCCAATAATTGACCCAATTATCGAATGTATCAAAACTATTATAGTTCTTATACACTCACAAACTCTCCAAACCATCATGTATTCCTAATGTCAAGCAAACTTCTATTCTGCCAAGTATTTCATCTACTAGCAACAGACAGTTTTAGGACCCTTATACACTGTAACCTCGCTACAACGAGCCCATTGAAGGACACGAATTTAGTTCGTTACAATTTAATGGTATACATACAAGTCACGATAGTACGATTACACATTAAGTACTAGTACATAAACAACGTTATATCAATTGATAGAGCATTTAATAAAATAGTTAATAAAAAACTCTCGTCACTGTTTGATTTATTATTTTCTATGCATGTATAAAGGCCGAGAGCTGATAAGTCTCAATATTTCGCAATAGCACTATTATATATAAAGATCCATGGAGCTGGAGATATATACTTTCAAATATTAGTACGCTTTGATAAACATAAACTCGTTAATAGTAGGGGTGAATATATTGATCGTGTACAGTCTTTATGGGGGGGGGGCAAAGGTTATTTTCGTTCAACGTAATTGCAATATTTTTTTGTTCGTACAATGTAAATTGAAAAAAATAAATTCCGTAATTCTGTAATCACAGGTTAGACGTACAACGTAATCAATTAAATATTTTTTTCGTACACTGTAAAAATGTGTCATTTTTCGCGGTACGTACAAGAATTTACATCCAAATAAAAAAAAATCGTAAACAATAATCCAGGGAAATTACATTTCAGAAACTGTAAAACGACTAGATGACACAATTCACTACAAAATTGAATGTCAAGACGTAAAAGGCCCTCTAACAGAATGAAGAGCATTACGAGGGTAATATGCGCATGCGTCTTTACACACGGCGCAGTATTGGCGGAGAATTTGAGTCGGAGAGCTCTTCGGACCATTCAATGTTCCATTTTTTAACACTTTAAACTGTAAAAACGTCTTTTTTTCTTGTAAATTGTACAAAGCCCTTTTTATTTCCTGTAAAACCGTACAAGCTACCCCCCTTTCCTCCCCTCTTTATAAAACTGGCAATTTGTTCCGTGTTTATCTATTTAGATATCCGTACTATACAGTAACACCGGTTTTTTTTTCTGATACACAACGTAAATGCAGTTAGTTCAATTTACAGCTGTAACACAACGCCAACAGGCTTAGTCTGTTTTCAGTCTGCAGGCAGACCACAGAAAAGAACACTCCAGTGAATTTTTGAAGTACGTGTAAACTGATGCATCTCATTGGCCCGCTCTTTGGACGAAATCTGATAATGGGATGTCGTTTCCATCATTCTTCAATCGACCGCACATCTGTGTTGACATCGACCCTGGGAAAAGGTAAAATAATTCTACCATCCATTGGTTGTATTTTGTTGGTTGTATTCTTTTGAATTAGATTCATGGCAGAATGGGAGATACAGTTGCCAATCGAAGAAATTGCTTTCTGCTCCAAACCACGTCATCGAAAAAGCGATCGTTTCGATGGAACAAATTCTTCACTGTAACCATTTACTGAAAAGTTCTGATCTCATGCAGGCACTTTTGCCGTGTTGCTGAGTGGTAATTTATCGAGATTCATATGCTTCACATAACGTGGGTCCTGAAACTTGCCAAAACACAGATGTCACAGTTTATACCTGAACTGTTCGCAGGCCCGTAGCCAGAACTTTTGAATAGGGGGTTCGAAACAACAATAATATATTTGATATGAAACGTGTGAATTTTATAATATTCAAAAAGTGAGCTCTGTTACAGACATTCTTATATTCTCGGTTTTAAATTCAATTGGTTTACTTTGTGTTACATTGGTAAGTTATTTGACATAACATCTTTGAACTATTTTCCATTTTGAGAAGGGGTCCTGAGCCATTCCCAACCCACAAACACACCCACACCCATGATCCACCACGGCAAAATGTTGTACACAAAAAAGACAAGACTGTACGTATCTTAGCATTATTGTCTAAGCATTTTAAGGTAGAATGCTACTTACGAGGTTTTTCGCTCTTCGCAGATGTTAGCGCACATAAACGTGACACGATTTCATGTCGAAATCTGTCTACAATTATTCATTTTAATATTAGTAAATTTTGTATTATGTAATTTTATTTCTGTGCAGGGCCTCAGCCCATTTTACAAAATGTAATGGGTAGAAAAGTGCATAGCACGTTTTAAAAACAATACAAAATCCATGTAAACATATTGAACTAAGTTAAGCTGGCTCCATATTCATCTCGTCGCTTGAAAACTTTTAAAAGATACAGAGCTAGTTGATATATGGTGTGGCAATTTATGTAGCGACGAAGTAAGCCTAGATTGTCAGTAATTGCATAGGATTATTGACAAAAGATCAGCCCTTAGATCATTATATAATGGACATATAAAAACAAATTGAATTTCATTTTCTACCATGCTAAATTCAAACGTATCACTGCAAAAACTACAAATTTATTGATCAAACTGTATTTTTGTATGTCCGTCTAATTCAACATTATGTTTA